AATGATGAGGTTGAGTCTTGATTGTATTTCTTCAGGGAGAAAGTCATAACCAGCACCTGATGGTGATGGCAGGGATCTTGGGAAAGATGTGGGGTCAGATTTCTATCCAGCTCTGTCCCAGCACTGGGACAATGGATAATGTGGTTTTCCTCTGCGGGGCTGCCTAACTCTAAGAAGTCTGTAGTATTGAGTTTTTCTTTATATCTAAGGTCAGGGGAGAAGGAAAAAAAAAAATAAGACAAGATCCTTACTTTCAAAGAACAAGTAACACTGTGGTGAACAAGATTTTTAAAAAATGCTTTCACGCATAGACATGCGCACAAATCATGAAGATAAGCGCCAAAGAAATAAGGTAGACAACAATTAGAATATGATCTCCCTGAGGGAAAGAATTAGGTTTTGTTCCACTCTGTTCCCAATATCCAAGCCTCAGTAAAGTTTTACCAAGTGAACAGAGGAAGAGTTGTACAGCACTTGGAGTCATTCAATCACCATGAGCTGGACCCGTGACAGTGAGCTTCATGGCACAGAGGGGTGAGGTTGGGCTTTGATGAAACAGAAGAATGGGGATTGGGTAACCAGAGTAAGGAGAGCCGAGTTTCAGAGTATCCCTGATGTGGAATATCATTCTCTGGAGAATACACAGACTGAGTCCTCTCTCTTGGGGCTAGAAGAGGAGCAACAGTCAATGTCTTAAGTATACAAAATATATTGTACAAATTGTATTTGCTATACATCAGCCACATAACAAATGCAAGACCCATAGTTTTATTTAATCTTCACAAAAACCCCAAGAAGGAGATTCTGTTATTCTCACTATCTGGAGGTTTAGAGATCATCTCAGTAAATGGATTACCCATGGCTTCCCGGGTATTAAGGGGTAGTGCCAGAATTTAAGCATAGACTTCTCCCCTTCCCAAAGCCCATGTTCTTAACCTCTCTTTAAACAATTAGTTGCAGTAGATATACATAAAATTTACCATTTCAACTGTACAATTCAATGCCTATTTGCATTGTTGTGCAGCCTACCTCCAGAACTCTTTTCCTCATTCAAAATTCAAACCACTATTCTACTTCCTGTCTGTATGAATTTGACTATTCTAGGTATCTCTGAAAGTAGAACCATACAGTACTTGTTATTTTGTGACTGTCGTCTTGTACTTTGCATGTCTTCAAGATTCATCCATGTGGTAGCATGTATCAAAATTTCCGTTCAAGGCTGAATAATATGCCATGGTATGTAGACACCAAATTTTATTTATTCACTCATTTGTCAATTGATTCTGTCTTTTGGCTTTTGTGAATGAGGCTTCTCGCAATGTGAGTGCACAAGATTCTGCTTTCAATTCTTTGGGATATCTAGAAGTGGAAGTCCTGGATCATAGAGTAATTCTATTTTTAATTTTTTGAGGAACCATTTCACTATTTTTCCATAGCATATTTTCATGCCCACCAACAGCACACCAGGGTTCCAATTTCTCCACATCCTCTTTACCTCTCTTTATACTGCTGCCCATAAGCAAGCTGATGGAGAAATGGGCTGCTAAATAAACCCAGCATTCTCAAACCAAGCTTAGCCAAAGTGAGATGGGCTTCCTTTCAACTGTCCACCAACCCAAGCAAGATGGAGCTAATGCTTAAGAAAACAAGGCCACCCTCTAACCCAGGAAGACATGCCAGGCCACCATGCCTGGGGCCCACTAATTTGAGGGACCATCCTGGGTCCCAGGACATTCCCCAGCATGCAAGAAAAGCGTAACAGAAGCTATTATCTCCCCAGATCTCTCATGACCTCCCTCATTCTCCGGCACTCAGTTTATTTTCTGTCATCGACACTGTCAGTAACTCCACTAAAAAGCTGTGTCAATCGCTTCTTTGTCTGAAAGGACATTTATCATTTGCCATTCTAAATCTGAAAACATCCTCACCAACCCGTGGGCGTTGGCTCACATTACACTCTGTAATTTCAGTTAGTGAGTTAATGGGAAAGACGCGTTAACATTCTGTTTGTGGTTTAAAACACATATTTACACAGTTTGACTTTTCATATCCACAAACTTATAATTTATCCATCATTATGTTCCCTATTCTCTACTTTTAAACGTTAACTGCCCTCATGTAGGTGATGAAAGATGGGGAGGCAAACTGGGGTGGTTTCTGCAGATGGAAGCCAATCAGCTCAAAGCAGAGAGGTGCACTCGGGCCCAGTGGTCGGAGAAGGAAGAGGCTCTGGCTGAGATCGCCGAGTTAATGGGTTCATGTAGAGCTGTCGCCTCCAAACATAACACACAAGAATGACGCTGGAGCCTTGCGTCAGCTCTGCCAATTTATGTTCAGCACCAGCCACAGCTCTGACCCCCACCAATGTGGCTGCCGAGGATCCCAGGACTCTGGTAAACTTTCTTAATATTCCTATTTATTTGATTATAAAATGTCTTCATTTTTTACCAGTGCATTTAGTTTCTCCAACTCATTCTTAAGTCACATGCTGTTTCCCTGTAATATTTCCATGAATGATCAAACAGAGTGGAAAGAATCCAGGCTCTGCAATCAGACAGACCTGGGTTCAGATCCCAGCTCTACCATGCACCAGCTACAGCAAATAGGAACTTTGGTGATTCCCTGACATTCTTAGAGTCTCAGTGACTTCATATGTTCCAGGAGGTAGGTAAAGTGACCTCATGAACAATGCCTATTGTTTGAGGTGCATATTCTAAGTGCCAGTGCACACACTCCGTTCATTACCTGATACAATGCTATACAAAGGGCGAGGAAAATGCCTTTTCACCTCCAGCCTCAGGGTCTTGCTCAATGACCCCCACAGAGAAAGAACTTACTACACATTTAGTGCCTGCTGAAATAGCCACAGGGACAGAAAGATTGTTGTTCTCAATGAGAAGAATTATGAAGATGTTTAAAAAGAAATTCAAGATGGAGAAATGATCCTATCAGAATCAACAGAATGCCCAAGAGAATAAATCAAGAGAAAATACTTATCTATTGTGTTTTGGAATATGGGAAGAAAGAAGAGAATCTGGAAGTTTAAATGAAGGAGTTAACTTGAAGATGAATCAAAATTATTTTGTTGAATTTATAAGCTCATTGCTGCTCAACATGGTACAAACTGAAATGTACCAAAAAGGTTCACGTAAACTCAACAATAACAGAATAGATTGTCCATTTACAAAATAAATGAATAGAAGGTATAAATAGAAGGTAAGTTGGATGCTCCCAGACTTCCTTTGAATGTCCCTACTGTCTGTCTTCCCATTCAGATTTTGAGGGTCAGTTCCTACTTCATAGGACTTTGCCTTGGATCCTCCTTGTTTATTAAATCCCCACCCCAAAGTCTCACAATATAATTCTTCAGAAAAACAGACAAATTTTAATGAAACCCCTCCTGGATCAGAGGAACAAAGCTTTGCGGGAACGGGGAGCTTCTTTGGGGAGAGGACATTTCTCCTCCAGGTCCCGCAGCTGCTGTTGTCTATTCTAGAGACAGAAGATGGCCAAGGATGAAGCAGAATAGAGAGCCCTGTCCCCTATGACCACCTTTGTTAGAAGATAGCAGTGATGGATCACACTCTTCCCCACCAGATTTTGGTGCCTCTATTGGTCACTGATGCTTAGGTTCTTATCATATTTTCAAACAATGGGGAAATCAAAATTTGGGTCATTGAGCAATGGAAAAATGACTGCTGACTTATTGTTCCTTTTGGACTCCTGTATCTCCAGCCAATGGGTCTTGTTTCTGGCCTGCAGACTGGAACAACAGACACCGATGCTCTCTCCCACAGGAAGCCCTTCAGATACTGAACCAAGTCCCTTAGGCATCCTCTAACTTCTTTGTTCTCAAGGCTCAAATAACCCCTTTTTCTACAGTGGCTCTGATGATCTGGCTTGGGCTCCAAGCATCTTCTCAAGATAATCCTGTGGACTGACCTTACGGGGTAGATGGAAATTTTTATCTCCCCTGGGACAATCGCTAGCATGGGATATGAGATGTAAAAGCTTATCCTATTCAGAAGTTATGAAAACATAAGGCATAAAATGAGGATGGGAGCCTCTAAGAGCCTTAGCAACAATGCAGTCCTCACACTATTTGTAGAGGTTCTGAAGGTCACAGAGCAAGTAGTTGGCAAAGTCTGGTCAAGAGCCCTAGCCCTACAAATCCAATGCCACAGTTCTGCTCTTCACAGCTCCCCAGGATGAGACAACTAGTACCCCGTATGTTAGGTCCCCTGCTTTAACCAGAGCACCCTTTGCAATTCCTCCACCTGACACTGGGGTGCACTGGCATGCCACCCACCCCCAAAGTGGACCTGAATGCCCGCCAATACTGGGGATGATTTACATGGGACTAGGAGAGGATTTTCCAAGAAAACACTCCATATAATTGGCCTTTGGTATATCTCCTCGGTGGTGATTTATGTGTCTAGGACAAGCCAAGGAACGTCGCTCTCCACCTCTGCAAAGCCTCCGGTCCCTGGCTTCAAAGTTCAGCAAGTTTCTGGCCAGAGAATGTTCTTCCTCTCCACCCACTCAGCCTTTTCTTCTGTGGTTTGCAATCTCATTTGCTAAATATACTAAGATGCCCCGTACATAGCGGTCTGCAGTTCCAGAATGTGCCTGGCTTCCTTTGGCCGCAGCATCGCTCATAAATCACCGTGCTGGCGGCTGCCATCCATTTATATCCATGACCTATGAGGACCCAAGGCTCAAGTTCTTCCACATGAAGCCTTTCCATTCAGGCCCCTTTCCATGACAGGAAAGCAGTCCTCTCTCATGCACAAGCACACAAGTACTTAGCCATGTGGTAGGGACAGAGAAGGGAGTAATTAAATTTGATCACTTATTTATGAGCGTTGCATGGCAAAGTCAGGCCTAAGCTAAATTACTATGAGTACAAACTGTAATGATGAGTATGATGAGGTTCGTTCTGAATGGAGGAAGTCAAGCTCCTTAAGAAAAAAGAAAAAAAAAAAAAAAAACCAAGCAGAGTCATTTCCCAGCCTCACATTACCAGTCCCATCCCTGTTTTCCAGCCAGCCCGAATGACAAAGCCACTCACAAGAAGTCATTCAGGGATTTCCCAAAAGGTGAGGAGGGAAAGGTAGATAGTATGGGTTAACAAGAGCAAGCCTCATTTCCAAGTCTAGAGGGGTGCTCCAGCTAAATGGACCCCACTTAGCAGCTGCTCCTGCAAGGAACTCTCCTACATGCAGGGATACACAAGACTTTCTGGAGAGAATACAATGAAGCTGGGGGCTAGAAGAAAATCAGAATATGTGTTCACTCCTCCCTCCCATAAAGAAGGCTTCATACATGTCAAGTCTTTAACTTGAGGAGACTGAAAAAAAAAAAAAAACAATATGGATGGACATGAGAACTGCCAGGAGGTAGAAAGAGTATAGAGTCAGTGACCCCCAAGGGTGGGAACAGCTGCTAGGGCAGACACTTGCGTTCTGCTAACATTCTTTTTTCGAAAAACCAGGCCATCTCCAGGTAAAATCCTTCACAAGGAAGAGGATGGAGTAGGAAAGCTAGGATTAGCAAGAGAGATGATAAGATGTTTGGGTTACATGGAGGCAAGCACCTGGAACCAAGTCTTCCCTGCAGACCTGAAGGATTTCCACGCAGGGCCGTCCTCCCTTGGCTCTCCGGGACAGCCCATCGCCTCGCAGCATTCCTCAACACAACGGTGGAGACAGAACAGACAGCTGCTGTCCAAGGGCAAGGAGTGAAGGTGGGACTTAAGAGAACATTTTTACCACTCCTGTGGGGTAGGAGTGATGGGGCAGTAAAGAGACCCCTGCCTGAACCCCAGTCCCAGCAAGGCTACCCTTCAGGAGTGTGTAGGGTGAGCAGACTTGATCTTGGCTAGCAAAAGTGGCTCCCTCCTCCCAGCTGCTGCAGGGGACTGCTGGAAAACACAGCACAAGATTGCATTACCAATTTCTGTTGGCCTAACACAATGAAAACCCACATCTAATTTGCTGTCCACTATCCCCCAGGTCCCCTTCAGCGTTTACTGCTTTCCAAATATCTTCCTCCCATTGAATATCTGTGTTTCAGATTATTTGTCCCCAGATGTATTAGGATGCATTTACTGCAGCTGAATCTCATCTAGTGATTTCCTGTCCATATGCCTGACAGCTCCAGGTCCCTTTATGTCATGTCTCTGTCATTGGTGGGGTTTATAATACCTCTCCATTTACGGCAATATACAGATTTAATTATCATATTCTTTACAACCTTTCCTAGGTTATTAACAAGTATGCAGAACACAACCGACACAACAATCCCTACGGCACCCTGTGGCCTCTGAATCCTGCCATGTCTCTCTCCAAGGCCACAACAAAGTGGTCCATTCAATACACTGGAGGAGCTGCTGCTGAATTTCTTAAAACATGAAATAGGCAAAAGGATCCTTAATCCTGTGTAATGAAAATGACACTGAACCAAGACCCAAGAGATGTAGATTCCAGTGCTATCTCTGCTATAGATAAGCTTATGTCCATTATTGGGCCTCATAAAATATTTAAAGAAGTTAACAATTCTGATAATAGTAATGTTAATGATGGCTACTTTTTACTAAGCTGCTACACTACTATGTGCCAGACAGCTAACCTATTTTATATCTATTCTTTAACACAAACCTATGAGGCTGTTTCATGACTTGCGTTTTGCTGATGAGAGACTTGAACTGAAAAGAGTCCAAAGGACTTGCCAAAGGTCACAGTAACTTAAAAACTTGTGGCTTGAATTGATACTTTTCTGTTTTTGACAAAACACAGAATTCTTGTGTCTGCCGAGACATCTGGGTGCTAAAAGAAGGGCTCCTTCTCCATTCAGCTTTCCTTTCCTGCCTGCTCATCCACATGGTCTCCCTCAATTCATTAGTGTTGCCTGGGATCCTATCGTGACCAAGCTTTCTGCCAGACAGAAAGCCTTCAGTGAAGAGTGATCTGAGGTCCTCTCAGAGCTTCACTGCTAAACCTCTTCAAGTATTCAGGTAAGTAAGACCTATAGGGAAGGATTCCTGGTCAAATGAGTTTGGGAAACATAAGATTAAACAAGATTTGACCATTAGACTTCCATTATGGTTTGGATACAAGGTGTCCCCTGAAAGTTTCTGTGTTAACACAGAAATATTCAGAGGTGAAATGACTGGATTGTGAAAGCTATAACCTGATCAGTTCATCCTGGATTGAATAAATAAACCGAGTGGTAACTGTAGGCAGGTGGGGCATGGCTGGAGTAGGGAGGTCACTGCGGGTTTGCCCTAGGAGGGTTCATTTTCTCTGTAGCTCCTCCCCAACTCCAACCCCTTCTTCTTGCCACCATAAGAAGAGTAGTGCCACTCCACCATGCCCTTCTGCCATGATGTTCTGCCTCATCTCGGACCCAGAACAATGGAGTCAGCCAACCATGGACTGAACCTCTGAAACCATGAACCAAAATAAACTTTTCCTCCTCTAAGTTGTTCTTATCAGGTATTTTGGTCACAGCAATAAAAAGCTAACAAAACTTCTTTCCCATGAGAATGTAATTTCCCAATGTACATTAGATAGCTCCTAAAGAGGAGGCAGTCCTTTCCCCCTTATTTAATTATAGGAACCCTTTAGGTTCCTTTAGCAGCTCAAAAAGCCAGCCCTTCCTGGATCAGACTTTGGGAAATGTTGAAGTAAGGATCCAAAGAGGGCTGGTGTCTCCCAGAGCACTGTCTCCCAAAGCTATTGACTACTTCTGGAGTCCTAAAGCAAAGGCCATCCAGAAGAGGTCTTGGGCCCCCAAGCTGTGTTGCTTAATATTTTGGTTAACTCTCCGTATTTATGGCCTCAGTTGTAAGTTCAAAAAAGTCAGAGAAGGCATTTGATTCATCTTCCCTTCCCCCAAGGCTTCCGTTTTATTTACTCATTTCTTTTTCTCCCTCCATTTCCCACTTCCCACCCTGATGTTTCAATGAGTCCTTGCAAAGTATGTTTGTGGCTTTATTTCCAAATGTTTTAAGGTAGGTAGATGGTGCCATGCAGGTATTTTGTTTCTTAGTTTTTAAAATGAGTGCCTTTTCAACACATCTATAAGATATAGTTTTTATAATTGTTCAGGTATGGTGAGATGAACAGACGAGGAGAGAATGTTTTTGTTTCTGGGAGGAGAGGGCCATGCTATGCAGGCCACACTGAGGAGCACCAAGGTAGGTGAGGTGGCAGGGTGGGAAGTGCAGGCAAAGTATTTATTCTGTTTTTTTGCAGAGAATAATGGGAAAACAAGGTTAGCAGGCCTAGGGTTGTCTAGTTTGAACAATACCAGCAGGCTTTGGGGTATAGGGGCTATCTTGAGCTGTCTCAAACATGGCCCTGGGATGAACAGGGGAGAGGAATAGGCCTCCTACAGAGTAAGAACCAAATTATGGGCTATGGATTGGTTAGCTTGCATGAGAAAGGCACAATCCTGGGTGAATCATTTGCAATTTCAAAGAACTGGCTAGTCCTGGCAGGGGCAATCTTTCCCTGGACAGAAAAGCCCCAGATTCTTGAATATCAAAAATAGAGAAAATAAGAAAAATATAGTCAATATCATGTGGCCTGGGTTGCCAAGCATCCCCTGAACCCTCCCTTCTACCTGCTGCATGGTGCTCCAGGGCATCTACCACTTTTACTCTCCAGTCTCTCAGTGTTTCCTTCAACCCAGTGTTGCCTTCGGTTTTCCACCACTACAAATAATACTTTAATGAAAATCCTCATACATACCTCCTTATGGACCTATGTAAGAATTTCATTGGGCTATATATCTTAGAGTGGAATTGCTGGGTCAGAGGGTGTGAGTATATTAATTCAACTCAATAAAGCTAGCCTGCACTCTAGAACTACTGCACTCTCACCAGTAAAGCATTGAAGGGTCCTATAATCAGGTGACATTTGCCATGATCTGTTTTTTTTTTTAATTGTTCTAGCTTAATGAGTACCAAGTAATCATTAATTTGTATACTAGTTTACATTTCTCTTATTTCTAATAAGTGTGATTTCATTCAGCTTTGTTCCCTAGAACTACACAATATGTTTGCTAAACTGATTCTAGGTAAGCAATAAATGGTGAATGCAAAATGACAGGCAGTTTTTCTTTGAGTTGCAGATGTACAATATGCTTAGCTCTTGTTCATCCCACCAGAAGCTCATGGACAAAGCACTAACTACAACAGGCACAAAACTTTGATTTTGACTTTGATGGGTGAGACCAGAGACTGCTGCAACCACTTCAAAGACAATAACTTGTGTATTGAATATTTGTCCTAAAGTGACAGGTCAGGAAACCAGAAAGGGTACAATTCCAGTATCTTCTAGGTCATTCATACTTGAAGGCTGAAGGACTAGGATGTAGAAGTGCAAAAAAACTATTTCATTTCTATACTACTGGATTCCACAGTATGAAGCCACTGAAATATTGAAATAGTCTATTGAATATGAGCTAATCAGAGCAGAAATCTAGACAATGGAGTAAAGAATAGTATTTAATACCTGAATTCTGTAATATATACATATAGTTATTTATGTAAATACATGTGAATGTGTGAATGAGCTCACCTGGTAAGCATTTACATACTTCATATACAGGTATGTTATATGTTACTATAGATTATTTTCTCTCCCCTTCAAATAAACTATAAAACTTATTTCTATGTTGTTTCCAGTCTAGTTTTTTTGCTCTTAGATCTAAACTAGCAGAATATCACTTGTAGAGAAGGGTTTTTTTTTTAGTCCCATCTTAGGCAATTAACAGGATTAAAAACAAAGGAAAAACTTAAAGTATTAATAAAATGTGTATTATATAAAACATTTCATTTTAAACATAAAACTTAACACACACACTATTGACAATCTAATAGCAACACTTTTGATTAAAAAGAGGACAAGTGTTAAGTGTGAATACTACTAACCAGAAGCCAAAGTGAGAGCTAATGCTGAAAGCACTGGGAAACAGTGTCAACAGGGCCATTCCAGACATTTCTCTATTAGCTCTCCCACCCCCCTCCCAATAAGGAAGATATTAGTGTAACTACTAAAAGTAAACTGGCCTCTCTGGCTATGCTTTCAACCGAGGATTTTGGATGGAGGTGTCATGGCGTGAAGACACGGCGGCCCACCTTGAGAGGAGAGATTGCTAAGCTACTAGTTTAAGACATGAACCGACCCTGACATGCTGAGGGCCTGAGGAAGAAGCATTCACTTTATAGAGCCCATTCTACTCTCTGACTTATGTAGATGGGACAAATGGTGCCCAGGGCATCCTCATCCACACATCAGCCTGAATTAGCTAGTAAATCACAACTGTAGTAGCTAATAACAGCCATAAAGCCTTTTGAGTTTTACAAGGTGTTTATAATGGGCAACTCACTATGATTTATATGAAAAACATGAGTCAGCTCCTGAGACAGAGTTGATATGTGGACAGTGGCCTTGTAGTGTGACCTCTAGCAAGCATCCAAATAAATTGCAGAATTTCCCTCTGGACCCAGGCTGGCCACTATCTCATACACATATTTTCAGAGAACCAGTTGGTGGGAACTGAGCACTGGTGCATGTGGGTCTTCCTTGAGGAAGGACGTGATTGTCTCAGGGCAGCTTAGTGGAGTGGAAGATGATAAATGCTAAGGCTAGTGAAAGAGTATCCCTAACCGTGACCTGGTGGGAATAACAGCAAATTAAATACATTCCCCACCCTCCCAGTTGAGAAAACAAGACAGATATACACAAATATTAGAAAACAGAATATAATTTTAATGAAGTAAAGGGAAAAGCTCTGGGGCCTGGGAATTACTAAGGCCCCGATGTTGTGAGGGTGCTTCCTAGGGGACAGTATCCAACTGAGTCTGAAGGTGTTATGGATTCTAGGAAGTAGACTCACTCAGAGGGCCCTGAGTGAGTGAAGATATTGGGACAGCAGTCGTGGTGGCATAGACATTTTAAAGTTAAGGGAAGAGGAAAAGAACTCAAGACTTCTACTGACCTAGGTGACTTGGAAGCTGCACTGAGGAACAGTGGGGAACAAGATCAGAAATCACACAGCAAAACTCACAGCTCACCTCAAGGTGTCCCAGACAAAAGGCTCTGTGCTGTAAAGTTCATGATACTCCTGCCAGGTGAGGACCAACCCACTAAGAGGGATCGGCAAGATGAAGTCAGGTTCTTTCCCTTACTCTTTACTGTTATAAAAACTGACACAAGGTCACGTATCCAGAGCATTTTGTGAAAAACAAAAATCATTCTCCATGATTACCAGATGATTGACTTGAGTCTGCTGTGGCCTCTCTGTACTCTGATGTCCTGGGAGAAAAATAATTTAATTCCCTTTGCTTATTCCTCTCTTCCCAAAACTCTCAGGCCCTTCCCTTTGATTTAAATGTTTTGCTGCCAAGACTTTCTTTCTCTATAGGACGTTGTCCTTCTGGTATTCATCTAGTGTGTGAATGGAAGCCTTTATTCCAAACTCCTCAGCTCCATGGGACTTCACTATTGAAAGCCACTCAGGACTTTTCACATAAGGAATCCCAAACATCTGGTGAGACCTGCTCTTCTGGGCTGGGCTATTCATTCCCTGAGGAGGCCATAGGATCATCCTGAAGAGAGGTGGACACCATGTATCCTGCCTGCCCGTCTAAAAGCACAGGTAACTGCAAGTCCAACTCTAGGAGTCTTCCTTTCAGAGCCAATCAAAAATTGAAAAACAAATTTAATAGATTCTTTGACCAATTATGTACACCTGATTCTATTAACCAGAATGTGATTAACAAAAAAGGAATAAGAATGTAAGTGCATGAGTTAATTTATTTAAAATATTTAATCCTGCCAGGCGTGGTGGCTCAGGCCTATAATCCCAACATCTCGGGAGGCTAGGGCAGGAGGATTACATGTTCAAGGCCAACCTGAGCAACTTAGCAAGACCCTGTCTTAACATAAAAATTAAAAAGGAACTGGGGACATAGCTCAGTGGCAAAGCACCCATGGGTTCAATCACCAGTCCTAAAATAAATAAATAAGTATTCAACCTATATTATCCATATACTTCACTAGGTATACGCAGGAGGAAAAATTTATACTATCCAAGCCCTGTAGAAAAGGTCAATATAGTAAGACAAAGGAAAGATTTGATTCTATCTTATCTAGAAAGTGGCCTGTGAGAAGACTGAAATTCTGTTTTAGTTGCTTTTCTATCCAAGTTCTTCCAAAGAGCCTGCTACACTTAGCAAATATGAGTAGATGCATGGATGGATGGATAGATGAATGCTTACATGGAGAAATGGATAACTGGATAATATAATGGATGGGTAGATCAGATGGATGGATGGATAGATAGATGGATTAAGAATTTAAAAACTGAGGCTTAGCATTAGGCTGTCAGAAACAGAAAACTAGATAAAAAGATCACTTTCCAAAAGAAAGGATGTATCTGAGATCCTTTTTTGGATCTTTGGTGAAATAAGAGAGGGAAATGCCTTTGTGTTAACTCTCTCACGTTCTTGACTAAACATTTTAAATCACTGTGTGCTGGTTTTCTTCCTTCCAATGAATAATCACCCTTAATAAGATTCTCAGGAGCTAGGATTTTTTGCAGTTGCCCTTCCTTCCACTGTTGAATGTCTTTGCTTAAATAGACCACTGAAGAATTAGGACTGGGAGTTAGGATTGCTTCATCTAAACCAATATAATCAGAATGTATGGCCCAAGAAATCTCCTAAATCATCATGCTTCATAACTTCATAGCACTAATCTTAGATTTGGGATGTTGAATTTTTACAGCTGGCCTGAGAACGCTCCCAATCTTGAGGTTTCCTCCTTGTCTCTTTCCGTCTAAATCTCTAGGTGACAATGCCAAACTGCAACTTGACAAAGCGGAAAAGCTCAATACTCCCTGAAAAGAACAGGATCTTGAGAAGCTTCTTGTGCCCTCAAAACTACATTTTTTTTTTAAAAGACACCAGAAGAATGGCTCCTAGTTTTGAAACTCAAATGATAAGATCATAAATAAATGGCAACCTCCCAGTAAAGACTGGGAAACTATGACCTTAGAAATTCTTCTTCCTTCCTGCTAGCATGATCTTGTCCTTGACAGAGAAGAGATCTGTCTCAGTTCATTTTTAAAATATGAATTTTTTTTCCTCCCAGTGGTCACAGATAGCATAAATTGCCATTAGCCATGACAAAGACAGATAACCTGCCCTACAGGAGACGGATAGCAAAAAGTCTGAACTCACTGTCATTTTCCTATGGCTTGAAGATCTCCAGCTGTCGGTAGTGCATCTCAGAATTTCACCCTGCTAGAAAGCTTGTTTCTAATAAAAGTAAAGCATATATATATATATATTCCCCCCCCCCCTTAAAAGAGCTTCTAGACTCTAGGAGTTCCAAGGATGGTGCCTTCCTCTGGAATTCAAGCATGGTCAACTCTACTCCTCCCTTCCTCCTTGGCCCTGGTCTTTTATCCTCAGCCTATGGTTTGGGGTGAAGCATTCTGGTCCAGGGGCCAGCCCTCTTCTTCAGTATAGAAAACCAAGCTCTCTTTAGTGGTTGAAGACAAAAGGTGCTGCAAGCTGGACACATAAGATCAAACATTATTTCAAGGGCATGTCATTGCCTCTCAGAGTATGGAGGACATCCAGGTGATGTGTAGCACACACAAAAAAAAGAGTGAAACTTGGCCCCAAACTCAACCTACCCAACACAATCTCCGTTAAGCAGATTCAAGAACATTTGGAAGCTAACCATTTTCTTTCTAATTCTAGCTGTAGATACATGTTTGTTTGCAAAATAGATCACAAAGCTGCACTGATTCACCCTTGACAAACGGAAGGAGACTGTGGGAGGTGAGTTCCATGGTAGCCCCTTTGAAGAAGCTGCCATTGCCATTTTGTGCTTACTGAGGGAACATTAGGTACAGCAATGTGGTGCAGATGACTTGGGGGGTCTCCTTGCCTGAATCATGTCATCCCATCCTGAGCCCAGAATGGCCTCACGATGGCCAAGTTATAGATTGTGTAAGAAAAAGATCTGGGCCAAGAGAAGACCTGTGTGATGATGAGCTCACCTTCATTTTCTCTGGAATCTTCAGTGAACGCCTCCCTACCCCAGTCTTGGTGCTCCTTATTTGTAAACTAAGGTACCACCTATTCTATCTTTCTCTTAGTATCATGAGGATCAAATGAGATATTGTATATGGAAATGCTTTCTGAAGTTAGTATCTCTTCCTCCTCCCATTCAGGACTCATAGGGTAGTAATTAAACACACACACACACACACACACACACACACACTCAGAAAAAATAAAAAGGAAAAAAAAGAAAGAAAAAGTTAAACTGAGCTTTAATTCTGTATCAGGTCATGGGATAAGTGCTTTGAATTTATTATTTTCCTTTCTCCCTTAATCCAATAACATTTTCAGGTAGTTATTTTATTAATCCCATTTCAAAGATCAGGGTAACTAAGACACCAACTTACTTAAACTCCCATAGTATACAGGAACTCTAGAATTTGAATCCAGGTTATTGAACACTAAAACCCGGGTTCTTCAGCACAG